TGTGTGTGTATACATTTTGATAATCCGACATTAAGTTTGATAATGAAGTTCTTTTTTCTATTACTTGTAACCGAAACCTCCATGTTATTTAATTGAAAGGTTTAATATGCATCTATCTTTTCAGCACACTATGTTCTCATTAAACAGAATTGAACTCTAGCAATCTCTTAGTTATTGGGTTATATTTCATATTAAATGTTCTATTAAATTCCTAGTACGCTTAGTCCCTTAGGATACGTTAAAATTTATTCTGTGACAGGTACATTCAATTACATGTTCTTTAGGATAAAGTACAATTCTTCAGTTGACTAGCTTCAGGTTATTATAGGCTAAATTCATATAATTGCCTTTCAGGAACAGCATTTTGATTTATTTTCACCTCCCAATGTGTAGGACTAATGCCAGCTAAATCCAACCAATCTTTTATCAAGATAGCAGGAAATTAAAACTGGAAACTCTTGCATGTAGCAAATACATAAATAAACAAATATATAATTAAACTCATTCTGAAAAGACCATTCATTTTTCTTCTTTTAAATGGATCCAGGATTTTTTTAAGAGACAGATCATTGAAAGGATGTGATCCATGTCAAGAACCCTAACAAATTTGACTCCTTTACATTATCATCTTTTAAACATATGGGAAATATCTACAAAAGCTAAGTGCACTTATAAAACTGTTCTATAAATAGAAAGGATTGCAAATTGGAGGCTACCAGCACTAAAAGTTTAAGGAATGGGATCTTTTTTTGTGGTGGTCACTATTTTGGTTGAGAGATGTGTACAGAGATATACATAGGAAGTTTTTGCCAGAAGAACAGTGGCGGCAGCTGGGGTGGTAGTAGTTACAGTGGCTGCCATTTTTGCACTCTCGAAGTCAGTATGCAGGGCTGCTATCTTGCTCCCCATCCCCAAATTATCCTAATGGCTGGGTATGTCACATATTGGATAGGTATGTCCTTCCTAGAAGAGAGGAGTAAATTCTTAAAAAGCCTGGGTGTATAATTATCTATAGACACTTGCTATAGAAATAATGTTTTGAAGCAGGAGACTACAAAAGTTTAGTACAGTAGGTAAAGCAAACTGCTTACAGTATGGGGGTTCCACTATATCAGGTAATAAAATTACCTCATTTAGTCAACAGAAATGCTCCCATCATCATTTAAGCAAATTCTGGAGCCAATCACTACCTTTCCAGGGCTTTTTCTTCAAAAGCATTTTTTTTTAAATTTCTCATTTTTTTTTATATATACATATACACATACATATATAGATAGAGATATATATAGATATATAAACAATATCTATCTATAGTAAAGAAAAAAATATATAATGTAAAATAAAGAAAAACTTAGTCCAATAAAAAGATAGATTGCTTTAGGGGAAAAACAACAACAACAAAAACAGTATGCTTCAGATGTACATGTTAGCCTTTTAAAATACATGCCCACATTCCTTTTTCATCTGACTCATTATGTCTATAACTTATTTAAGCAGAAAGTTGAAACAAGTCACATAAAATATTAAAATAAAAATATGTTACTTAGAATCTGCCTACTTAGCTCTCAACAGGTCTTGATCTTTCAGTGCTGAACCTTGCAGATAGATAACCCTCTGGGACCACATTGGGATTTGCAACACCCTTCGGACCTGAGCATCCATCTCAGTTGGACACAAAATAACCACATAATAATCCTGTCAAAACATAAGGGAGTGTAGAAAAGGCACATTAATTACTTAATATTGCCTTCTGTTGTTAGTGGAGAATTGGCTAATAGAAAATCTGGAGGTGAAAAAGGTCTGTGATAAACCAGGAATCCTGTTTTTCTCTGATTTAAAAAAAAATCCCCGATTTTCAGTTAAAAAAGGAACCCTAAATCTACATTTTTCCATGATTAAAATGAACCATCACTATATGTGTGTGTGTGTGTGTGTGTGTGTATGTATATGTGTATATATACACACACACACACACACACACAAACACACATACATATATATATACACACATATATAATTTGAATAATAAAATCAATTCTAAATACCTATAAATCTTAGCATTTGATTGTGAGTTATTTTATCATAAAAAGTCAGAGCTCTCCCTGCAGCTGCCCCCCGCCCTGCTACTTGTTTGTGGCACTGAGCAGCCATGATATGCTGGTGCCCTGCCCATGTCATTACCCCTCGCTCCCAAGCCACAGGCCCCCAGGCCTTCTGGTTGCCCTCACTCCCTACCCACAGCCCCCTGCGCCCCCAGCCCTGCTGGAAGGTGTCCCCAGCTGCCAGGGCTATGCAGCCAAAGACCCAGGTCCCCCTGCCCTACCCCTACAACAGTGCCTGAGCCCTGGCTGCTGCCCATGGGAGGCTGTGGCAGAGCAGAACGTGGAGCCTGGCTTCCTCTCGCCCATGGGTAGCACAGGCACAGCAGAGGCTGTGAGGCTGAGGCTGAGGCTGGTGTGGGCTGCCTGCTGTGGCCTAAGAGCTCCCTGCCCTGCTGCCCTCCACCTGGCCCTTCACAGCCCACTGAGTGGGACCCAGCGTGTAAGGGTAGAGCAGGGCAGAGAGGCTTGTGCCACCACTGGGAGTCCCACACTGCCATGGAGAGGCACTTCTTGCCTGCCTGGCAGGAGCAGGAGGCACAACTCTGCACCACCACCCCTGCTGCTGCTGGGGAGGCAGGGGGTGCCTTGCCATGGTAGCGCAGGGCTCCCACTGGTGGCACTGAGCTTCCCCCCGGCACTGCCCTGACATGCCGGGCCCTGCCTGCTGGGTCCTGGAGGCCCTGGGGAGAAAGCAGCAGGGTGAGCAGCCCTGAACATGTAGTGGGCAGCCTGCCCCCAGCCCTACTCTGTGGACAAATCATGGCCCCCCTGGGAGTGTGCACAGTAGCAGGGAGCCAGCCGCCCATACAAGCTGCCCACAACTCCATCTTACTCCCCACCTGGACTCTGCAGCCAAACATGGCCCCAGACCCAAAACCCCATGAATCACATTGGCTGGGCAGCAGCCCCAGCCCCAGCCCTGCCCAACTCCCTTCCTCACTGTGGGGACCTCAATACCTCCCCCCCTCCTCAGCTTACATATGAAGAGCTGTGGGAGCTGCTCTCCAGGCTGCCTGGTGGCCATGTGCATGTGTAAATGGTACCCCCCGCCTGATTGCCTTCATCCCATTCACCCCAGCCCCTTGAAGGCTGGAACTGCCACCCTGCAAGGGGAAACCTGCCTTTTCCTGCATATTTCTCCTTTGAAGGAGAAAATCTGGGTTTATCTCCTCAAAATGAGAAAATCTATGTTTTACCGCATTTTTCCGTGGTAAACAGAAAACCAGATTCCTGCTTAGCAGTAATCTTCGGTTTCAGGATCTTTGTTTATTACTCTGTTTTCTCCATTTCTGTCTTAATCATTACAGTGAGACAAACCTCACAAAGTCAGCAAAAAAACTCTCAGTGACTTCTGTGGAGGTTTTGAATTAGTCCTCTAAATACCAAAGGGAAAAGAAATAACCATGTTGTCATTATTTTACATGATTTGAACTAAAAGAAAATGATTTTTTATTAAAATATTTGAGTATAATTTAAATAAATCAAAGTATTTGTGACAAAAGCATAATTCTATCTGTCTAATCCACTTAGCTTAATTTAAAACAAAGGGATGTAATAATACATCTGAGTTTCTTATTGTAGGAAGTGTCCCCACTCAAAATTAATTCAGGTCTACAAATTGTAGCTGTTCCAGAAGGCAGTCTGCAATGGGCTAGCATCTAACTGAGTTTCTTATTATTTTTGTTACATTGTAAATATACCTGCAGTCTGGGATGAGCATAGAACTCATTTAAGAAATCCATAAGCAGATCAATCTTCAGAGAGCTGACACACAATACAACATGTTTCTCTGTCTGAGCTCTGTGTCGACTGTAGTTACCACCCGACTTTTGCCTCTCCATCCACAAATAAGCCAGCTGTTCAAACTGCAATGGATTGTAAAATGTAAATGAAACACACAAAATTAATATAAGATTCTTTATCATGATGAGTTGTTAATGTTTCCATGGACTAATCCAGGTGCTCATTTAATTAAGGTCAAACTTGGATCCTGTTAGTCATTCTTGCTTTACAAGAGCAGCAATTTGAAACAATCTGGATGGGATGAGAGACTGGATGTTTCATTAATAAATCAGGATGGCCCAAATGAAGCAATCAGAAATGCTGAGTATCATAAAACTGGATTAAAACATGATTTTTTTTTAATTTAAACAATAAATACTGCATCTCCTTATTTAGTTTCCAGTGTTTAAACCTGAAGGCTCACATTTTCCATCTTTTCTCTTCCCCCTCCCCACCCACCAAGTTAAAACTGATATTCTGATGTAATTATGTAATTACATGAGTTCAGGAGCTGGGAATCTAAAAGATGCACTGATTTATTACACTTATAATGATTTAGTTGGGGCAATATCTCAATCCCCCCTGCCCTTCCCCCGCCACCAAATTTAAGACTCTAAAGATAGTAGCATTTTATACAATCAAGTCTGTGAATAGTCTATGTTTGGCATGCTGTATCAGTATTGACAACACTTAAATCTATGGTGAACAGGAAAAATGCATTCTGTTCTGCTGCCGTTTCTGAAGAACTGCAGATTTTTTAAGTATCAGCTATAGCAACTGTTAAACAGCATTTTTCCTTTGCCACCATACTTAGTACACACTGCCTTACCATGAAACCTACTTTGTAATCCAATAAAGGAAAATCTAGGATGCAATGTGTTCTGTGATATAACCAGTCATTAAGAGCATATGAGCAATGTTTCAGTAAACTGCTTGGAAAAATATTTTATAAAGCTCATGTAAACCATTTCAGTTTTAAAATTGTTTTAAAAAAATACAGGTAAATGTTAACAACACTGTTCCCAAACAGGGTTGTTCTTGTATTTCCATTCTACATATGGAAAACTGACACAACTTGTTTCTAATCAATTCAGTATCAGAGCCAAAATATGAGATCAGGATATGTTCCCATGCCTCCATTCATCTTTTGCTCAGACCACAACACCGAGTCTCTCTCTATTTAAGTTTACTTAAATATTGTTGTTGGTTAGCTATACATTGGAAACCTTTAGGATGCTGCACATGGATGCAGACCTTTTCTGCTCAGTCATCCCTATGATAAAGCTAATCGAGATTATATTAACATTCCAACTAAAAGTTTTGAAATAATTACATTTCCAGGAAGAAATGTGACCTCATTCATGGCACAGATCCTGGAAGCCCTGAAAGCTCTTGGGGTTTCTTGTTTTCTGGTTTTTAGGCCTGTGCAAATCAGCAGCAATCCGATCTGGCTTCGGATCTGGCCGCTTTGGATGGCCGCTATCCGACCCAGAGCTCTGGACCGGGTTTCTGCCTGGATCTGGCTGAAGCGTCTCCGAAGCTTTGGAGCCACCTCAGAGATCCAGCCATAGGGTATAATGGGGAATCAATGGAAGATCTATAACTTTGTTGTTTTTTGTCCAATTTGGATGAAACTTGGGGGCAGTTCCCCCCAAAACCCTGCACCGATCTTCTTGAAACTTGGTAGGCTTTGTGGCCTCAGCGAGAGCTAGCACCCCTGCAGCTTTAACCCCACTATGTTGTAACGTATAGACATGACAGGAGTTTTGCTTTCATGAATTTGGGGTACAGTTGCCCCAAAACCCCTGAACCGATCAATCTTCTTGAAACTTGGCAGGCTCTGTGGCCTCAGCAGAGGCTACCAGCCCTGCAGTGGTCACCCCACTATGTTGTAACACCTAGATGTGACATGAATTTTGCTTTCAAGAATTTGGGGTGCCGTTCCCCCCAAACCCCTGCACCAAACTTCTTGAAACTTGTCAAGCTTCATCCTCTCTATAGAGTCTACCACCTCTGAAAACTTCATCCAAATCAGACAAAAAACAACAAAGTTATAGATATTTTATTGTTTCCGCATTATACCCTATGTCTGGATCTCTGAGGCGGCTCCGAGGAGGCTCCAAAGCTCTTCCGGAGCTCTGAACTGCTTTGGGAAGCCTAACAAGGCCAGTGCTTTGACCCAGATGTGCTGCTTTGGACCCCAAAGCATCTGAAGCTTCTCTGTATCTGAAGCTCTGTCCGAAGCCTCGCACAGCCCTACTGGTCTTGGACAGGGAAACTGGGAATGCTGGAGGCCCAGCCCTGGGTCAGTCAATACAGTGAAATTGACACACAGAATGATCTGCAGACTCTGGGGTCTGGGACAGACATTGCATAAACCAGTCTGACCCAAATCAGTTAAGTATGATACTACATTCAATCAGGTTTATCTCAAACTGGTTTCAGCCATTTTTAAACCCGTTTATGTGCACTGATTATCTGTTCTGTTACAAGTTTAGGCCAGTTTCTGATCACTTAAACTGGTTTATGTGTAATGTCTGTCCCTAGCCCAGAAGCCTCAGAATCATCTGTCAATTCAGCTGACAAACTCAACTTGAAAATTGCCATGAAATAATTTGGCTTTGACAAATTGGTATGTCTGATGAAAACCCTTTTTTCACATGAAAAATCCCAACCCTCCATAACATATAGAAATGCCAAGGCTTTTTACTGAAGTCAAAGTTTAAATCAGACTTTTTCCAGTTGAGGGTAAAGTTTACACATTACACTTAGACAATACTAAGGGCGCTTAAAATGCAGGCACCCACAGGTTAAAGCTCACCAGCACAGGCCCCAAGCTCCCACCTGCCTGCCGCTTGCTCCCGCATGCCCATTCACTCCCAGTGTCCCTGCCCCAGCCCAGCAGTACGGGGGAGAGCAGCGCACAGCCCCAACCCCACGCTCACCTGTGAAGAATGAGCTGGTGCTCAGTGCAGGGGAAAAGTGCCCCCCCTCATGTCTGATGCTTCCTGCTGCAGCCTCTCACAGCCCGTGCATGGCTGTCCTGCCTCTCCACCATTTCACTGCTGCCCCATGGGGCAGTGGTGGCCATGGAGAGCACGCACAGGCATCCCTGCATGGGCTCCGAGTGGCTGCAGCAGGGGGTGCTGGCCATGGGAAGGGGGAGCGGCTGCTTTTCCCTTGTACTAAGCACCAGCTCACTCCCCAGAAGCTGCTGCTCAGAGCAGAGGAAAGTGACCACCGCTCTCATCACCGCCATGCAGTGTTTGGTGCAGCTGTTTCACCACTACATCTGGGCTGCCCAGTGCGGCAGCAGTGGCCATGTGAAGCAGCTTTTAAGGAGCACAGAGGTGGCAGTAAAGCAGCCAAACCATGGCCTAACATGGCATGGGCTCTGGGCAGGCAGCCGCAGCATACACTGGCCAGTGGCAGCAAGCGGAGTAGCCACTTTCCTCCTTGCTGAGCAGCAGCTTCTACTGAGCTGCCATGGCTCAGCCCTGATGGGAGATCCAGGAAATTGTGCGAGGCCCAGGCTAGCAGTGATGGCAGGTAGCAAGCTGGTGCTCAGCACTGGCAAAAAGCAGCTGCTTCCCCTTCCCACTCTAAGCCTGCGCATAGCTGCCTGTGCCTGCTCTACTTTGCCACCACTGCCCCACAGGGCAGCATTGATGTGGCAAAAGGCAGGACAGCCCCGTACAGTCTGTGAGCAGCTGCAGCACAGGGCACCAGGCATGGGGGGGGGTGCACTTGAGTCCCATGCTGAGCACCAGCGCATCCCCCTCCAGTTAGTGCAGGGCATGTGGGGTCAGGGCTGCATGCTGGCCCATGCCAGTACCACAGCTGCAGCACAGGGTGCCAGGCAGGCGGGGGGCGGGGGGGGAGGGGGTGCGATTTTTCACTCACGGTGAGCACCAGCTTGTTCACTGCAGGTGAGCTTGGGGTCGGGGCTATGTGCTGCTCCCTGCCTGTATCATGGGCCTGGGGTGGGGGCACTGGGAGTGAGAAGGCACATGGGAGCCAGTGGCAGTCAGGTGGGAGCACGGGGCCCACAGCAGTGTCCTGGGGCCAGTGCTGGTGGGGGCCAGAGCAGGGTGGCAGAAGCGTGGAGTACCAGCCAGCAGGGGCTCTATGGAGCAGGATCAGCTCCCCACTCTTCCTGCTGATGTAGCCCAGCCCAGCTCCACAGACCCCTACCAGCCCACGCCCCATGCTCCTACCACCCAAATCTGGGCACCGCTGGTGCTGGCCTCAGGACATTGGTGCAGGCCCCATGCTCCCACTCACTTCCACTCCCCCCTGCCCCTTTCTCCACTTTTCTGCCCAGCCAGCTGCATTACATGGCTCCCATACCCACATCTATACCCACACACACACACACACATCCACACACACCCATAAACCCCTATACTCAATCACTTCTGCATATATACCACAAATGCCTACAAATCAGGACAAAAATATTTTTAAAAATTAAATTAAAGCATATTATTATGGGTGGCCAGAGGTTAGGGGAAAAACTTCCAGTCCCAAAATGGTGGCCAGGGGGGCGGGGCACCTGTTAAGGGGTGGGGCTACCTATGTAGCCCTCGACAGCTTGCCAAAACTCGGTAAGCTGCCGTTCACCCAAAATAATTGTCTGCCCCTTGTCTATATATAACAAGTTACTTCATTCTAACTCTAGCATAGGAATGCAGGGAGAGAGAATCAAAGGTAGTAGCAGACAGAGTGCACAAGATGAATGCAGCAGTCATGATTTGCTGGTGCTGTTTAAGTTAGTAATAAAATCAAAACCTAAACTGGGGATAAATTTGAACAATATGCAAAGTCTATAGGTTCCACGGTATATGAAAAGCACCACCTCTTTACACAAGGAACTGAAAATTCATGCCCTGGTAATTTTCTCATACAAACACAGTCTACAAATATATTTTAAAAACAGGGAGAAAAGAAAGCTCCAAGTGTGATTGCAGAAAAGGGGTTAGGTATACAGATAGTAAGGGCAATTTTAATGATTATAAGTTTTTTGACATTTTTTCCCCACTAAATATTCTTAAATGGAAAACAGTTAGGGTTTACCTGTATGGGTAACACCACAAGGGCAACACAGATCATAATGACAACCAGCAGTTTTGAAGGCCATATCTTGGGTGTAACATCCCCAAAGCCCACAGTGGAAAATGTCACTATGCAGAAATAAAGGGAGTCAAAGAGAGTCAGCTTGTTTCCTGCTCGCTCCAGATGCTGAATTCCACAAATACTAAGTGAAAGAGAATGAATAGAGACATGAAAAATAACACACACAACTTGGATAAATCCAAATTCTATGATGTTGTTACAAGTATAAATAATTATTTTTCTACAAAAGCATGCATTGCTTAGCAAAGACATAAGTTTCAAGAATAGCTTTTTTCAGGTTCTTACCAAAATGTGTTTTTTAAATTATTTTTAAATGTAATTCATCATCAGTTTTAATTGTCATTTTCTCCTTATTTCAAAATGACAGCCTTGGTCATATTGCTAGATTTTGATTAGTGGTAGGCATCAAAAAGTAAGTATTGTTACATATAAATAACAATATGTATTGGTAATATCCTTTGTAACAAACAGCATACTCTGCAAGCGTTCAGAGTTTTTTTTAAACCATATTTTATTTTTTGCAAAGATATGATTATTTTGTGGCAAAGAAACAGTGCATATCTTCTTTGCGCTTGGTAGTTTTCTGTTAGGTTACATCATTATTGTGGCAAGAACTATTAGCTCACACTACTGGAAATGGCAAGTGACAGGGGCCAGATGATTTTTTCTTTGTCAGTTAGTACACATCAGGATAGCTTGTGGAATTATCTCAAGTGGTCTACCAATATCTCTTGCTAATTTGATGCTGTGCTGAGAAAATGTGAAGTCTATTTTCAGTAAATACAAACATCTAATATAGAAGTCAGTTCAACCAATGTATATGAATATGCCCTGAATTCTTGATGGGCAGATTTCATATTTGTAAAAACTGGAGTTGAAAAAAATGTAGGTTTGAAGTGCAAGAATTTCTCTTGTGCCACGGTGGGGAGAAGTGGTTGGTTGTGGTGGTAGTTGGGTCTTACAACTGACCTGTTTCTGACCTGAGTTTGAAAAGTTTCTGGCCGATGACCTAGTATACATGATGACTGTTTGATGCATGATATCCACCTGGTAGCAGATGACCACTAGAATTCCCCAGGGTGAAAGCCTTGTATCACCAGGGAGCCCCAGTATTTATAACAGTGCTAGCAGTTACACTGTTCTGTTCTCCAGAAATAATTTACTAGTGGGCTGTGGCATTTCCATAACATATGGATCACATTCCTTGTTTCCTCTTCACAGTTCTAGCATTTGTAGTTTTCACACATCTCAAAATGTTCTAAAGATTATTTTTGTTGGAAAAGTTTCAGCCTTCAGTCAGAATTGATGAATTTATATTCCTACGCATTTTGTTCCAGATTTTTTCACTGAAGTGGCAGCTCAGATCTTTCCTCCATAATCACATTAGCTTATCCATTTTTAAGAAAAAGACAAATGTATATATTTTTGAACAGGTGCATTTTGTTTTTGCCAATATGTCCTGAAATTTAATGAGAGGAATCATTTGGGATTATCACCAGAGTGAAAAAGTTCAATTAATATGCCACTGATGCCAGGTAAGGAAGTCTTCAGTATGGCTTCTTTTTAAAGTCCCCTTGTATCAGGCTACTTTTTTTAGTATTTAAAATAAAGAACTTTCTCACAGGGAAATACATTCTTGAAAAATGGGCTATTGCAAAATTAAAATGCCTCTACATTGCACCTGTTTTTGAATCAAAAGTGTGTTTGGATTCCAAACTCTTCTATTATCACTGGCTACCTTGGTGCTTTTCTCTCATTGAATGAAATTCATCACATACTGAGATCCTGCACGATATATCGGACATCTTTTTAAGCAATTCAGACTCATAATATCTTCTACTTAGCTACAGAATTTGAGATGATAAGCTACAGTAATGGCTGAATATACAGAAAATATCTATTTTTAAAGTGTAGGACCTGATTCTTCCTCTTTTATATAATTTTACGTTTGTAACTTTTTTTTATCAGTGCTACCACATTTCAGTGCAGTCAAATAAATGATTTAAACATAAAATTGGTATAGCAGAGGGTTCAAAACAATAGGAAAGTCAGACAACACACCTATTAAAACAGAGATGCAGAAGAAAAAAGAAAGTAAATGCATGAAGAACAGTTTAAAAATCGACCAAAATTTCAAACAAAAAGGAGAAGTTAAAAACAATAACACCCATGATCTCTAAAGATTAGGAAAGATAAGCCTTGTTTAGATACCATTTGAACTTTGGAGCATTCAGCAGCTTCATTTACTGGAAATTTTTTGTGTTTCCTGGCATCTGTGATTACTTATTTTGCATGTGCCAAACTACACAAGAGTTTTTAAAAAGCCTATCTCTCCTAGCTATGATATCAAAAAAATTCAGACACAAAAGGACTGTCATCTATCAGCTAAGGACTGGTTTACTACAGCAGGAATAAATTGTTTCTGCCTAATTGCTTCAGTGGATTTCTATGTGTTTGTGGGGAATAGGGATTGATTTTAGGAAGTATCCAACAGTTTAATTATAAATAATACTTTGATTGGAGTTAGCTGCAGTAGTTCAGTGTAGGGTGATCCCTATAATGGTCAGCTTTTACCAGTATAGTGTCTCATACATTATCCATCCACTCTTCCAGCCAGCATTTCTGACCTGGTCAGGAAGAAGGGAAGATGTCTAGGGACTTCCCATGCCTCAGATTGCCATTGGTGGCTGTCAGAAATCAAAACAGCCTAAAGGAGCTATAGCTTACTTTAGGATTACTCTAGGAATTAGGGAACATGGACATGTCGAAATTCCCCTTTATGCAGATGCTTCCCCTAAGTTATGTTCTCAAATAACTAAAGAAATATTTTTTTATACCAATTTATAAATTTTGAGCTGAATACCACAATTTGCAACTGGTATCATAGCGTAACAAGTGTCATAGTTGCATATTGTTCAGGTCAAAATACAATTTTGTAAAGAAGTGGATCACATAAATGTCTCGTGTAAATTAAAAATATCAGGTGCTAAATTCTGGTATAGTTTATTCAATATTCTTATCAATATAGACTTGTTTTTAGCAGAGCTATTATTTTATCTGGAAAATTTAAGATCTCAGCGGAATGTGAAAAGACAAGCTTGGTTTTCGTTTGTTTATTTTTTAAATCTGATTTCCACTAATTTGTGAGCATCCTAAGGTAGGAATCAATAATTGTTGGGGAGCAAAATCATGCTCCAGATGAAATTAGATTTGAACCATGCTGTTGCAAAAAAGATTAGATGGAAAAATCTACCAGCAGCAAGGGTAGCTTATATTGGGATTTTAAAACAATGCGTGTGTAATGTCATCTTTTATAATTATGTTTATCATGCTACTCAGGGTACCAGATAGTTTAGCACCATTCACTCAGAGGTTCGTGGTGCAAAGCTGCTACACTCTAACAGGGCACAGCAAAGGGTCACTACAAAGACATAAAGCTGAGAAATTGGAGGAGAAGGGATCACAAATCTGGAACTGATCAAATTGAAACATTGGAAATGAACTTTTCCAAGAAAGATCAAAATTAATAATTGTTCACAACCAATAATTTGATCAGACCTACCTAAGCAGTATAGTAAAAGGTTGTAACATATGCAGATATGCATTTTCTTGCTATAAAAATAATCATATAGTGCATTTCAGAGGTGTATGAAGAATGTATTATGCACCTTGCTTACCTCCTCTACTTGAGGCAGTCTCATTGTTTGTACAAATATTGTGTGTATTATGCCAATCACCAGTCTAAAATGTTTGAAAGGAAACCTGTTACTTGGATGAGCTAATTAACAAAAATGTTCTTTGGAGAAGACACTTTGCTGATATTCTTAGTATTTACATAAAATAAGTAAAGTAGACAATACCATCACACTATGCTGTAGAAACATGAAACAATAACATTTATATGTGACTACTGGCTTTGTGTTTAGACAGCACAGTGATGGGGGTGCATGAGAAATACATTTTTTAAAAGGTTGTAACTCTGCAGATGATACTGAAGCAAATATCTTGTGGGAGGCAACGAGGAATTTTCTGGATAAAGTCTTCACAGATTTGACCCTAGGAACGATGCTCCCACCCTGGGTTAATCATTAATTGACCAACGAGACCATTCATTGTGTTTGCTTGATTGATTTTAAGATAGTTTCAAGGATGCCTGTATGTAGAAAAAAGTTGTTTTCTGTCTTTACGGGAATGGTATCAGTCATATTTCCCATCAGGGGAAAAAAAAGGTAGAAAAATGTTTTTTGCGTGGGTGGAGTAACATTTTATGTACAAATATTCTGAAACAGATGTCTTTGGCTATACTTCACGTAGAGCCCAACACTGCATCATATGCTGATATTGACTTCTTAAGAGCAGGCACTTGAAAAAAACTTTGATTTGACAATAGCAGGAACTACCAGCTTTAAAGAAAAATTGATGTTTGGCAGAGTTTGGTTGTTAAATTCTAAACGCATGCCCAGGAGGAAAATACTGAAGATTTTTAATCTTTAAATTGTAAAAGAAAAAGTTGGCTTTAATATGGGTCCATTTTTGTCTTAATTACCAGGCAATTCTTGAAGATTCATATGCTCAAACTAAAATAGGGCTGGAAGGGACCTCACAAGGTCATCTAGTTCAGCCCCCTGCTCACTGAAGGATCATCCCTGACTAAACCATCCCATTCAAGTGTCTGTCTTGACATTTTCCAGAGATAGAGATTCCACAGCTTTCCTAGGTAGCCTATTTCAATGCTCTACCACCCTTATAGTCCTAAATTTCTCCTAGTCTCCATCCTAAATTCCTTCTGCTACAGTTTGAGGCCATTGTTCCTAGTCCTATTCCCTATTGCCAAAGAGAAAAGTCTATCTCCATTCTGTCTATAATCACCCTTCAGGTCTTTGAAGACTGTTATTAAATCTCTCCCTTAGTCTTCTCTTCTCCAGGCTAAATAACCCTAGTTCTTTCAAACTTTCTTCATAAATTACGGTTCACAGGCCCAAATAATTTTTGTCATCCTGCACTAGACTCTTTCCAGTTAGTCCACATCTTTTGTGAGGTGTGCAGCCCAAAACTAGACAAGAGTACTCCAGGTAAAACCAGTATTGGAAAGTGACACTTCTGTTAATGATACCTAGTATATACTGGCCTTTTAAAAAATACATATGTATATATGTATGTGCACATACACATATCCATATGTATGTGGGAGGGTATGTGTGTTTACATGCACAGGAATGTGTGCATTTATCTATTTATTTTGCAACAAGAGCACATTGCTGGTTCTTATTCAGCTCATGGTCCACTGCAGCCGACACGTCCTTCTCTGCAGTACCACGGTCTAGCCAATCGTTCCTCACTCTCTATTTGTACATGCAGTTATTTTTAGGTATAGGACTTTGTACTTGTCCTTGTTGGATTTCATCTGATTGATTATTTTTGGATCATTTCTCCAGTTTATCTAAGTCATTCTGGATCCTAACCCTACCCTCCAGCTTGTACAACACCACACAACTTGGTGTCACCCACAGATTTGCTAAACGTACACTCCATCCCATCATCCAAATAAGTAATAAAATGTTAAATGATACCAGACCCAGAACTGACCTTTGGGAAATCTACCTGATACCTCTCCCCAGATAGACTTTGAGCCATTGGTAACTATGTGTTAAGTATAATGATCTAGGTAGTTGTGTATCCACCTTACCTTACTTTCATTTAGTCTGTATATCCTTATTTTACTAATGAAATAGCTGTAATAGTTTACAGATTATGTCTATATTCTAAATTTGCCATCTCCAGGTCTGGCACACTCAAGCTGGTATCACAGTTCTGGGTAAAAAACAGTATAGCCATGTCTACATGGATGGGTTTAATTCACTTGGTGGAATGTTAACTGGTGCAGCATTCATCAGTGCTAATTACTTTGCTCCAAATACCAAAGGATGCAGCTATAGAGCTTCTTGTTTCAGATGAAAAAGGATTAAAGCAATACAGTGTTACTGAGGGAGCCACCACTTGAGGACAGTAAGTTTACTATCTACACATAGCCAAACTGACACATTATGGGAGAAAGATATTTGGGACTTGCAGAATTTGTATAATCATTAAATACTTCAAAGCAGTTGGCTGAGTTAACAGAATGAGTAATGTTCACTGTTGGTGAACACTCATATCAGGGAAGTGACAACAGGGAAAACATTATTCAGTTATTCATTCACCATACTGGATTAAAAAGCAAGTATCTTATACTGAATGATAAATTATAGTTGTCCCCTGAAGTCTAAATATCTATTTCCTTTAAGAATCCATTGGTTTAAATGTTATGGTGTGTTTCTACACAGCCACTAGGCGGAGAAAAAAATAACCCCTCCCCCTCCAAATTATAACCTGATGCTTGCCAATACTTTTGATGTTGGCGTAAACCATGAAGTAAGTTAAAGAATAACAAATTTGACAATAACCAACAAATTACAAAGGGCAAAGTGCAAATTCCTGGGAAATGGAAAGAAAAAGAGAATAAAGAGGGTCAGAAAATTGTTTTTCTTCACATTTCAATTTTAATTTCTTTTTTCTTTTTTCAAGTTTATGTACATTTTTCTCATCTCCTGCATTTGAACATTTCAGTTGCTCAAAAACAAATGTGTCAAAATATTGCCAGAACCAAAAATACTTCACTGACGCTTTCAGACTTTTGAAGAAAATTGATTTTTTTTTTGGTTTGTTTTAATATTTCCATTCAGTTGAAAAGTAATTTTCTATCAAGAACATTATGACAGAAAGTTTGGACTAGCCCAAATAGAGATGCAATTTCTGACATTATAATAATAAAAGTGCAATTAAATATTTTAATCAGGTAGTCATGTGGCAAAATTGTATTACACTTATAAAATAAACCTATAGTCTCAGTCCTGCACAGCAGTCCATGCAAGCAGCTTTGTAAGCCTGTGGGAATTATTCTATTACATCAAAACTTTAAAGAAACATAATGAGGCATCTTGAAATAATGTAGGCAGTCCATGCCCTGCCACTTTTTCTTTTGTTTGAATATTATACCTGCTAAACTTATACTCAAGTTTTTTTAGTCAGTTGTAATGGGTTTGCCCATAATAGGTGGCTACACAAATGCTCTGATGCATTTTGATTAGAACACATTGGAGCAAATTCGATTAATGAGTCTGCTGGAGCTTTTTAATTAGAACACTCCAGCATGCTGCAGCATCTCATGTATTCAGCATCCCTCATTCAATGAGCTTTATTTAAAGTGCCCCTGCCACCATTTTGAAATGCAAGACACTGAATACATGAGATGCTGTTGCGTTTTAATTAGAGTGGATCCCAAGAGCTGCTCTTTTTAGAATGCACCCCCTCCCTGCTCCCCAGATCACATGTATAGGCACCCAAACATCCTGGTGACTGAAGGGGTATTCACTGAAAAATACTAAGAACTGATTCCAAATTCACATTTTTTACTTTTCAGAGACACAAATCTATACATTTTTCAGCTTTTCTCCTTCACTCCTTGGTATTGTTGTATCAGACAACTCCATAGAAACCTCTAGATTTTTTTTTCCAAATTCATTTCATTTCACCAGTATTTACCCTGTCTTGTTTCTGTATGTGACTGTTATTTTTTAGCACCTAGCCTAAACATCCTGAGATGTACAAATTTCAACTGACTCTAATAATTTTTGGATCAGGCCCTAAAAGTCAATGCAGTTGCATGGGTATAAGCTTGGAATGTTTCTCAACAAAACAGTACTTATATTGGCAACTCATAATAGTTATTTTATAGCATCTCCCTAGGCCAATTTCAGACACTAATTCTGCCTTTTAGCTAAAAAAGTAACTCCCTGCTTCCCAATTTTATCTTTGTAAAACTGTTGTTGTAAAACAAAAGTCTGACAACTCCAGGAATGCTTATGTACCATGTCCCTGAGCCCCAGTGCTTTCCTCATCAGAAGCCAAGTATCTTAGCAGGGAGACATAATAGGCCTGCTGCAATATAACCACCTGACAGATTAATACATCTGTCCAAATTCCAATGAATCAATTTGGTTTTTATGTTCTTTTTTTCAGATGATGTTAATTTTATGAGGGTTTTTTTCCCATCTATTTATGAAACATTAATTTTGATTCATGGAAAAGGCTAGCAAAATTGCCCAGGAAATGAGGTTCATTATGTAATGCTGTTTTTTTTCTGGAAGACATTCTCCTGTAGAGTTCCATTGAGAGCTAATGTTTATAACAGCTGAACTTGTAAGAGAAAACTTCTATTAGTGAACCATGTGACTTCCAGTAATTTCAAAACAACTTTTTAAGGTAAGTAGTGAAATAGCATTACCCTGTATAAATATTTACTATACCACACAGATTATGACCCTTTCTGTTCATGCTGCTGCAATATTTTGTGAGAAAGTAGAAGTAAAGCAACACTGAAAAGACATTGATTTGGGGGGTCGCACTAATATAGCTGAAGGCCAAATTTGGCACAATACCTAATCTAGAGGAATTGTGCATTAGTCAACCAGAGATAACACCAGACCAATAATGCATTTTTTCCCATCAAATATATGTTTTCATATATGCAGTGTCCCATTCATGAATTATAGGTACTTACACCCTGATCATGTAAATCCTTTATGTTTGGCCCCTGTGTTTGTTAAAATCCCCCATGGAGTGACTGACTCATCTTGTCACACAGTGACAGTGAATCAGTGAGAGTGCAGAAAACAGAAACATTTAGTCTGCATTTTTATCATTTCAGCCATCTTCTACCTGAAAAGTTACCAAAGTAGTTACCTTATCAGATGAGGTATAGATGTGATGTTATTAGCATATAATCTAATTAGGATATGAAATATTATGTCAGGTATCTGGTATTCCAGAAAACTTTTCAAAGTTCAAAGGCCAGCCTCTAATTCAGTAAGTGATATTCACAAATATGATAGGCTTAGAAAATCGCACTTCTTACTCCTTGCAGTGACATTTTAAAATACTCCAGAGGTGTGATGGTAGTTAGAAAAACCACCCACACATTCAGGCTATGACATGGGTGACTGGTGCCTCCTGAGTCTGGTGGGGCACCTGCAGAAGCCACCGACAGTGTCGGCGATGGGGGCAGAGCTAGCAAGCAGCTGCAGATGCTGCTGGCAGCATTGGCGGCAGGGCTGGAGCTGGTGAGTATCTGCTAATGTGATGGTGTCTGCGGCAGGGCCAGAGCTGGCGAGCATCTGCAGATGCCTCTGGCAGCATTGGCAACTGGGCCAGAGGTAGAAAGCATCCACTGGCAGTGAGGATGGCCCTGTCGGGGGGGCACGTGCCCCCCTGTGCTCCTGCTATGTGTCACCTATGGGCTAGGAGTTAAGCAACATGAATAATCCAATTAGCAATTTAAATATTCATTATCCAAATATTTGTTAAATGTATGTGGGAGGAGTTAGGCTCTTTAACTCTTATTAATTCAGAAGATAGAATCCTTTTGAAAATTTAATGATTAAAAATCTCTATTTTCAACAATTTTATTGCAGATCATTGAAGCAGAAAAATCCAGTTAATGTGCTGCTTCTCCAATTTAAAAAGTGCCTCTCATGCCTCAGGTGACTAAAATTCTAACTGTTGTAAGCAACTGCTAATTCTTCCAACTTCCCTTTTCTGTCAGCATCTATTTCATTGTCTGTATTCACGAAAAAAAATTGCAGTTCGTTGAAAACTACAAATTTAGTGACAACATAATTAAACATAATTAAATATGTCGATATCATATAACTAAATCTACTGTGTTGATTCTGTGTGCATTAGGCCCTGGGTTCTCTACACAGTGGGCATGTCTACACATGCATTAAGGTGCTTTCCTAATGAGCATTACATTTAATACCTCCAATGTGAGGTACTAAACTAATGTGCATTATGCTACCTTAATACACAGTAACGATTGTGCATGGTTTTTAGGTAGCACTTAATTTAAAGTACCCTTTTTTACTGTGCATTAGTGTAATAGCATGGTTTTTACGTGACACTTTAATGCACAATAGGATACTGCACATTAAAGTGCACATGTAGACATGCCCAGTGAGTTGGAAAAATTAGATGACTCGGAATAATGACCCCCAAAAAATATTACTTTGGGCATTGAGCCTCCTACACCTAGACAGGTGGGAAATGCCAGACCTGTGAGTGTAAACTCCAGAGTTTAGGTACCTGATTCATGTCTGCAAGCAGACAGCTTCATCTGCTTAAGATCCAGGGACTGTATGTTCCCCCAGAGGTTATACCTCTGCTCTGTGAGAAAATGAGGAAGGTTCTGGTCCCCATTCCCAGGACTGCTTGTGCATTCATCCAATGACTGACAAATGTAAACCATAGAAGAGTCTTTGAACAAGGGGTTGGAACCCAGGATATTCTGCTCCCAGGTGGGTGTCTTAACAATTTGACCACAGCATACTATTTTATCTTGTACTGTCCCTCTAGCTCTATTAATCTTGCATTCTTTGTTGCATTGTAATAGCCCTCACCCCATTCTTACATAAACCCTTGAGAACTCTCCTGGGAGTGTCAATTTCAACTATGGCAGGTGTGGCGAGCCGATAGGAGGCACTCCTGCACTGAGCCACTCGCCTCACTGTGCCCAACCAAGAACCAAGCTTTGAGTGCCTCCCCTGGGGCACCTACATCCAGCTGACCCCCTTTCTGGAGCACACCCGCAGGCCTGGGGTAAACACTGCCACCACCTGGGGTCTGGTCTTTGTCCGGTCTCTGTGCCCTCTGTGGTACACTGGCCTTGTAGACTTTGAGGATGCTTAACCCACCGTGAGATCTTGGGGTGCTTCCTTTAGCCTGAAGCATAGAAAGTAGCCTCCCTTAGTCAGCCATGCAAAGGCTTGCCATGATAGATAGCTTTATTGATTGGAGAGAGAGGGCATAGGGATGAAATACAAACCAAAAGGAATTTTGAAAAAAAAACAGCCTTCAGCAAAACTGTGAAAGGGGCTCACTTGCCCTTTTAGCACACATCTAGAACACTTAGGTCTAAGTTACTGGCTATAATTCAGATAAGTTACTCACAGTAACGTTCAGAGTATTCTGGAGGTACACAGCTTCAGCCTGGTTCAGTGACCAGAAGATGTCTCTCCCCTCTCCTAAGATGGAAGATTTATAGATGCCCTATTTATAACCTTTCTGACCTCACCACCTGGACCCAACCAACATCAGGTATTTTATGAGCATCACTGATGTTGCCCAGTGAGTTTGAGTAACATCATCCCTCACCTTGAGTGGGGACCACTGCCTTGGGACTGCCCTCCAGGTCAAAGGCAGGAAATGTAACAATAGACCTGGCCAAAGAGAGAGAGGATTTCCCCTCCCTAGGGGATCCCCTAGGAAACCAGGCGGTTGCCTGGAACCCGGTTAATAGACACATGGGTAGAGAGAGAAGGGAAGAACAGACAACCCAAAAAGAGAGGGGACTGGGATGCAGTTCTTTCACAGAAGGTTGAGGAGGACACCAAATCAATGTTTCTATTTTCCTTGCTGACCACTCTAACCACTAAGTTATCATATGATAGGAACCATCAGCATTTCTTCCTTCTCTTTCAGGTAGATTTTAAAAACTAAAGCCACAACTGCATTTTAATAGAAGGCTTAAGTGTATGTGTTAAGTGCATTCTCAAAATGGCTACTGGATTGGGCTTCATACCAGATAACTTGCTACCAAATAAGATCAAGAAGGGATGTGAAAGAAACCATGGAGGAAGAGTAGAACAACGATCTAGATTGAGACACAATAGCTAGGTTCAGAGCTAGGTGAGTGGGACTCCTCAGCTGCTGTACTGGTGATAGTACTGTTTTCCAAAGCTGAGAGTATGGAGATCCAAAAGCACTGTTCTATTAAGTTTTCCCCTTTACAGAGAGGAAGTGGGGAAGTGGCCAGTATGTCAGTCTGCCTCAGAGACTGATGAGTCTGAAACAAGTAGGTTGTACCTCAGTCCTGTAAAAAACAGAGGTAACCAAGGCTACATCATGTCACCGTGTCCACCTAAGGGGATGCCACCAATAGGTAACCCACTAGGCATACAGTCCTCTTTGGGAATATCTACACGTGCATTTAAGTGTAACTACATTTACTGCACATTAAGCTAACTAGATTTTTGGCAGGTGTCTCCACGTGCAGGAACATGGCACTAAATCTAGTGCCAAGCCTTTTCAACCCTGTGGCCACTGTGGGAAGATTAAGCCTCTGGCCACATAGTTGCCAGTACTTGGCAGCCATGTTGAAGTCAAAGCCAGCTCCCAGCACTTGGCAGCCATCTTGGAAATACAGCCCTGCCCTTCTTGGCCAACCCCTTCCCTGCCCAGGAGATATGTGCCCAGCACAGGAGCAGCATATAGCAAGTCCCTCCTTGCCTACCCTACCACCCAATGCCATGGCTACTCCAGCTACTCCAGGGCCACCTGCTATGGCTTCTTCAGCACCATGGCTACCCCTGTCCCTGCCAGCAATGACCAGCACCCCATGCTCCTGCTGGCTATAGTGCTGGCCCTTCTGGCCCCAGCAGCTCCCCTGACCCAGGCCCCAGGACAGCCATGCACCTGCCAGTGGCAGCCAGGGCATCACCTGCAGGAGGCCCTACCTGATCCCCTCCTCCTGCACTCCCTACTCCAGCCTGCCTTCCCTGCCACCCACACACCTCAACCCCTGACCACCCCTAGCATCACTCTCAGGTCAGGCACATGTTTGAAACAAAAACATTTTATTTCCCTAACAACACCCACCTCATCCCTAGCCCTCACAACCAACAGAACTCCCCCACCAACCAACAGAGCCCTTTCATCACCCTCCCCACCCAGCAATGATTAAAGAAACTTACAATCAGAAAACTATTTACAATCAGAAAACTATTTATAATTAGAATTATTTCTGGGTTTTGAGCCCAGAGTGGGAGGCTTTGGGGGCAGGTCTAGGGAGCAGAGCCCGAAGGCAAGTGCCTATCACCCTAGCCTCAGCACATTCCCCTGCGGGCCAGGGTGCCACAGCAACCCCAGTGGGCAGTGGCCTCATGCACAGCCAGGTCTTCAGGTGTATGGTACTGGGAAGAGTGGTAGAGCCAGGCCCAGGTGGGTGGTGGGAGGTCTGGGGAGGGGTCTGGGCCAGGGGGTCTGGTGGGCTGGAGGTCCAAGGACCTCCTCCCAGCCCCAGGCAGGGGCCTGCTGTGGGGCAGGCAGTGGGACCCAGGGGTCTTGAGGGGCCATGAGTGGGGGCTCGGCAATGGGGGCCATGGACACAGCTGCCAACCCCATGAGGGTGTACAGGACCTGGCTGATGGTGTCCTCCTGCTGCTGGAGCAGCTCTAGGTGCTCCCACTTCAGAGCTTCCATTTAGGTGCAGTGGTACCATTTCACCAGGTCCCATGTGTCTGCCCAAGTGACATCTTCTGCCCACCAGGCCTGTTCCCATGCCTCCCACTCCTCTGCCATCACTACCAGCCACTGGACCAAGAGGATCTGAGCCATAGTGCACTGCTGGTGCAGCCGGTGCAACTGGGAAGCTCCAGCAGTGGGTGGCAGTGACCCAGAAACCACACCCCTGCTGGGGCTGGTGGCCTTGCATCCAGATGTTAGCCCTGCAGAGGCAAGAAACAGAAGCCTTTTGTGAGAGTTTGTAAATTGCAGAGATAAGATGCTGTGCACCAGGGGCTATGTGCTGCCCAGCCTCAGATTGGGGGTCAGCCATGTACAGGTTCCCAGGACCATGGTAAGCTAGCTGGGCAGGCCCAGGCCCAGGCCCAGACCCAGGCCCAGGCCCAGGCCCAGGCAGCTGCTGCCTGAGACCCCTGTCCCTGCTTGCACTCCTGGGACTAGTGGCCTTCTGGGTGCTGGCCACAGGCAGCCTGCCTCCTCAACCCTCTTCCTAGGGTGGGCAGGCCAGGTTGCTGGCAACACCTGCTGCCATGGCTCCAGACCCTGCTGCCCCCAGTCTCCCCCTGCAAGCCAACGATTCTGCCATGCTGCTTCCCAGCCCATGGCACCCAGGTTCAGGATGCATGGGGTTCCTGGGGCAAGGGGCTGGCCAGGACCCCACCCTGCCCTCTGGGGGCCACTCTGGGGAGGCACCCCAGGGCCAGCCTCCCCCCATGCAGCCTTTGTGCTCTGAGCATGCCGTTGCTGCACATGCCTCTGGCAGTCTGAAGTGAGATGTTTTTACAAGATGATGGGTACTCAAGCCATTATACCCTGCTGCTGCTATCCCTCCTGGTGCCCAGGCATACCTGCATTCCTGGTTCGGGACCCTGAACTACAATGGTACGGGGAGAAAGCCTGGACTGCCCCACAACCTCCACCACTGCCTGGAGGACTACCTGTGGTAGTGCTACCTGTCCCTGCTCCCAACTGCCAAGGAGGACATCACTGCCAGCATTGATGCCTTCCTCAGGGTGTGATAGGTCCATGCCTGCCCACCTGTGGGGACATGGGATGCTCAGTAAATTTCTGATCTGTGTCCCACCCCTCTTCATGCTGTGGGTGTGGGGAACCCAGGGCCAATGGAGTGTGGATGGGC